TTCATATTATTAACTCTGAATTTGATTTACATTTACAATCTAGAGCATATAAGGTTCTTTTTTGATATATGATACACAATGTAGTGGTTTATTATATTTGTATATTGTTTTCCGGGCTCAGAAACATAATGTTTAAAAAAAACACACATTACAAATTCATATTTTAATCGTTACATTCAAAATATTTAAAAACCAACAGCATCAATGTCAATTTTGATTCACTATCTGTATTGTACATGTAAATACCTTTAATTTGATATATAACAAAGTAGTTTTGGATGAAAAAATGACTCTTTATATTACTATCTATGTGGATATCTGATATTTATTAGGAAATATAAGGTTGTCATGGAAACCGTGCAATTTGACCACTTTCAGGGCAAAATCGGATCTGGAGACTTCCAAATCTGAAAATTTCATAAGATTTTACACAAGAAAAAGTGGTTTCCATTTGCTATTACAATGGATAGAGCATGAGTCTAAATTTCCGGCCTCAAAGCCTAGACTACAATTCAATAGAAAATGTTCTTCAATTGAATTTGTGTCACAGTTATTGCATATTCTTTTGTTTATTGGTTTCTTAGGAAATGAATATCTGCTTTCCTCTATTGCTGAGAAATTTGAGAAAAAAACAATATTTTTTTTTTTATTTTGGAAACGATGGAACAAAATTTGTTTTCAACCTAACTAGAGTGAAAGTGTGACTTTTCTGCCAAGTTTGAGCCAAATCAGCCCAGCCAGAAAAATCACAGAAGAGTTAAAATGCCATATTCTTTTGAATATTGGTTTCTTAGGAAAACCCTAAATTAGCCATATATTGAGCCAATCTGTGAAAAAATTTAAAAGAAGCTAATTTCAAATGATTTTATAAGGTATGGGTCTGGACAACTACCAAAAAAAAGAAGGGGAGATAGGGGCTGGTGAATTTTTTTTTATCGGAGGTCAAAGGTCATTGACTTTTGCCAAAATAGCTATGATTTTTGTATGAATCATATTTTATCACCAGAATATGTTATATAGGTAAAATTGGTGTCAAAATGCGCAGAATTAAAAAAGGAAGAAGAAAAAATTAACTCTTTGCGTCAAATTTCGACCTCCAAAAATGAGATCACAGGTCAAAAATTGTCATTTTTATCACATAAAATGGCATATTAATCATATTTTAGTTTAGCTTTAGTTGTCAGAATGCGTGGAATTATGCATGAAAAAGAGATTTTAAATTTGGTGTCAATATAGCATACAAAAGGGAAAAGGGTTTCTAAATTTCCCTTTGTAGGGGAGGTCTTATGTTATTGACCCAGTCTAAAACACTAGGCCATACTTATTAGTCATACCTCATCAACACACATGGTATGTGTATGACCTAGTATGGTCTTGGTATACAAATGAACATCATTATTTGAACTGGAAGGAGAGTGAATAGATCTCATAGTCACTAAGGGGTCAAATGTCTTCAACCATGTCCATCTCAGAAACAACATATGGTGTATGTCAAGCATTGTTTTGACTTGATGTCAAAATCCACAACATTACATTGCAAGTAGAACACATTTAAAATATTGATATGGTGACTCTTACAGTGGCCCATACTAGGCAGGAGTTATTCTGTAGTTTGACGCACTTTGAAGGAATTCTCGGACATGTATGAATCTA